TTCACGACGGGGCTCGGCGCCGTCGGCTTCGTTGTCCCCATCGGGGAGGCCGTCCACCGCACGGGGGCGTGGGTCGGGCGGCGGGCCGAGGGCGACGTCGCCCACCCCGCCGGCCTGCCCCCCCGGCGCTTCTCGGCTTTCCGCAGGACGACCCCGCCCGCGCGGTGGCCGCCGCGGAGCGCATCCTCCACGCCCCCCTCCTCGCCACCCTTCTCGAAAGGGACCTGCGCGCGCGGAAGGCCCTCGCGGCCGCGGCTCAGACCCAGATCGACCGCGTCCTCAACGCGGCGGTCACCATCGACGTGGAGACCTTCCTCTTTTAGTCCGATCCGTGGTCTAGGTCTTTCCCTCTGGGGATATAGGGGTCAATCGGGTCGGGTTCGTCGCGGCCGTGCATCGGAGCTGACAAATGGGTAGCCCCAGTGGTAAAATTGTAATTAATTCGAGTGAAAATGACCACACTTTTTGGGGGATTTTGTATTAAATTCTACACCTAAACAAACTTACTTCAATTCAATCATGAAAAAGATGATGCGCTGCGCATGGCTCCTTTTTTTTTTCACCAAACTCTTTTATGGTGTCTGGTATCATTCATTCTTCTCCTGGTGTCTTTTGTTTGTTTTAAAAAATGCTTTGATTCTTAATTTTTTTTTTTACTCTTTTATCAAAAGGGAACAACATTGCGGGGCGAGATGTTGGTCCGATCAATATTACGGTGGTCTGCCTTTCTTTCTCATCTTCATCGGGAACCCTGCACTATCGGTCCGGGTGCCACTGAAGAGAACTCGAAGGCGCGCTTCGTACCACCTCAGAGCAGCATTGGGATGGAAAAGGCTGCGCTTACAATCCCGGAAACGGAGGGGCGTACAGTCTTGGAGATGCGAATGAATGGACTAAAGGCGTGGCTGGATGAGTTTGGGGGTGGAATTGCCTCGTGTGGCGATAGTCTTCCTTCTATAAAAATGCACACGAAAACGTGCGGACAGGAAAAGGTAGACATCGATCTGCTCGACCCCTTATTAACCCTCCCAGATACATTTCGTCTACCCATTCAACTGGAAGGGGCGCAAGAATACTCATCACCGATGCCGCTTAACGACAACGACGATGACTTTATGGTGAGGATCAACGCAGCACTCACATCCCCTGAGGCCATTTCTAAGCAATTAAACTTTCGGAAAGTGTTGCTTGACTTCCGTGAGATTGCAAACACCCTTCAGTTGCCTTTCTTTTTGGCTTGTGGGACGGCCCTGGGTGCACGACGGGAAGGTTATTTCATACCCTATGACGAAGATGTTGATGTTGGGGTTTTCTTTGAAGATTTGTTGGATCTCGGTGCAAAGTCTAGTCAAGGAGGGGGTCCACTAAGCGCTCTCTCGGGATCCAAGAAGGAGTTGAACGATATTTCTGCAGTCAGTCTCGCATCAAAAGCTATTCTTGAGCTGATCTTTTTGTTGTCAAACGACTCCAAGTTTATTGTGATCGACGTGTGTGGGACTGTTTCAAAGGGGTTGGAAGTGCGATTTCTGCATGTTCCTACATCTGTTCGGTTGGATCTGAACGTTTATTACCCCCCACTTCCAGATGATAACAATCTCATCTCGGCTTTGGCTGGAACTTTTGTGTGGTCTGCAACTTATTACGCCGAAGCGGACCTGCGAAAACATCGGATGTACCGCTTTCGTTACCACCCCTTTCATGACGACCTAGAGGATACAACTTTCTGTTTTTCCTCTTCAACAATGGTAAAAAATGGGTTTATAGCCGGAAGTGAAGCACCCATGAAATTACCACCCATCCGGTATTTGGAGGAGTACTATGGTGAGGACTGGCAAGTCCCAAAGAAATTCTCGTACTTTGAAGGACTTGGCGGCGGCTTCAAAAATATCATCGAGGAATAACAATCGAGATGTGCGCTTGATTATCTATTGGCCCGGAGTATGTCCTTCGTGGGCATTTATTAGGGCTGGTGAGGAAAATCAAAAGGAGGAATCTTGTGTAATTCTCTTTCTTCTTACCTTTCTATTTGTCTTTCACTTCTTGCTTTTCTAACTAATGAAACCATAATATTCTGCACCATTTTTTTGTGTGTGTGGACCTTATCACTATCACTTTCTTTTCATTTACTGCATTTTTCTAACTCATTTCAGTAAGAATTCTAAGCTGGTCTTTTCATACCGTCCCAAAAAGTGAGCGAACACGTGTTGCATTATTTTTTTTGCATATTTGTATGTGTCTTGAAAAAACGAACTGAATTATAAAGCCTCCAACACCTTTTCTTTCGTTCACGATAAAGTAAATTGGCGATTGAGAGACAATGGCATTATCTGAAAATCATGTAGAAAGCGTAACCACAGAAGTGACACTAAATCCTGATGCGCAAGCTCACAACCCCGAGTCCTTTCCGGTTCTCAATGTCAGGGCGAAACCTTTTATCAGCACCAAAGCCCCCCCGCCCTTGGGCCATAGGGTGCCGCTTCTTCACAACTTCCAACTCGCGCCCTATCCGACCCCAGAAGCCTTCCCCTATCCGAGCTATGAACAGCAACTCTACGCCGAATTCGCCCCGCCCTTATCCGGTTACATGAACTCACGCGGCTGGGAGGCCGGGATGGGGTCCGAGATGCTCCCCCCCCCTCGAATCCCGCCCGAGCACC